AATAAAAAATATGAATAAATACATAGGTTGAAAATTTCTAATTGTTATTACTAACTCGCAAGATAATATTTATCAAAAAAACTTTTACCAAACAATTTATTTACCAAGAGAAGAATCACTTTTCCGATTTTCTCAATTCGTTAGATCTATCTATACCGCTCGACGCTTCAAACCAGACTGAGCTCAGCTTTAAAAATCTTTTCCTACAGATTTTATTANCGCTCGACGCTTCAAACCAGACTGAGCTCAGCTTTAAAAATCTTTTCCTACAGATTTTATTATTATAAATCTCACTATACAGTGCATGCTATGTTCGCATACCGATCTTTCTTCTACGAACTTGCCTTATCGCTCTTTTCAAGTGGCGCCTTTGAATTGCTCGGACCGTCGTGAGCACGCCTCTCACGGTCTCGTCATAACCCGCTGACATTTCTTGTATATACTTAGTAATTTTACTATATTTTGATTTGATTTCTTGTGCCATTTCAAGAGAAAACTTCAGGGAAACATGCGAGTCTGAAAAAGTTGCGCTGAAATAACTCAATTCCCCGTAATCACTAATAAACTTTAATGTCCCACGAGAGGGGACATCCGAGTGATATGCTAGAATTACGATGTAACAATGGAGAAGAAGAATTACGATGTTAACAATATACAGACGGAATACATACAGTATCAGACTCTGTACTACAGTACGTATCAGACTCTGCCGTCCAGTAAAATAGCCTCGCGCAGAATTTCAGCCGTACCTAAAAGGTTTAATATTCGATCGTTGCTCGGCTCGACATCCGCGCCAGAGGACATTCGGGAATGTCTTGCGCAATGTTTACGTTGCGCGCGAGCCATTATTTGGTGATGGTGATCGGAAGGCAAACGTCTGCGGCAAATTGGTAGGTTACGCGTCCGCCGGAGGGGTAGGTTTCACCGTTAAAAAGATTAGACGCGACCGTAATAGCTTTTATTGCATCCTCGGCCCTTCCGTGAAAGAAGATATAGACGCGACCCCTTCCGTCATGAATGTCTTCAATTTGCCTAAGCAAACGGAAGGGCCATAAACGCGTGCTTGGCCCGTACGACCCGACATTAGCATCGCTATCGAGGAACCATCGGCCTGTGTGATTGCTTAATCCTGCNTTGAGAGCAGTAGATTGTCAGTGCCTGCAACTTCTTTAGAAGTTCCTGACGACGTGCGGTGCGTGTAGCTGTTGGCAGCTCTAAATCCTGTCTCGCTTTGTCCAGTCTAGCCTTTGCTCTAGGTAATGAATATGCTATAAAATGAATTAATGATAAAATTAATATATATGGAATAGTGTACGAAATTAATAGTCCTATATTAACTTACATGATATCCAAGAACGTGCTATTTGAAGAGATTCTGGTCCTTCGTGGTACCAAGTGGTTTCTGTGTCCCTTTCAATGGCATGCGAAGGTTTCTCTTCTTCTTCGTGCTTCTTTTTGATAGCATCCTCGCCAAGACTAGCCAACAATTCTCTTAATCTTGTTCTTCTGTCCGCCGGGCCTTCGCCGAACAGACATATAGGTTCTCCTAATTGTCTCAAATTCTTTTTCACTTCAGAATCATCGGTAGATACATTTATTTGACGAGCTTTTTTCCTACGCTCGAATTCTTCTAGGAGAGCTTGTCTATCCTTAGACATCTCATCCTCAAGTTCCATATATTCATTGGATATATGGACATTTCCCAAAGTGATAACAGCATTGACACCGTCTCCCAAATTCGTAGCATCTTTCTCTTCCTCGGAGGATTCCGCTGCGGCAGCCAGTCTCGCACGCTCAGTTTCTTCCAGAGATCCATAGTGAACAGTTTTCTGTTTCTTGACATAGACCAAGTCCTCGTCGTCCGACATTGTGTAAAGTCACTGATGACACAATTAACCTACTACAGGCAATGTAAGTTTAATAACAGCGAGCAATCTGTGTGATAAAGAATAACATTGTAAATACGCATATATACAAGTACCGTAATGCCTTGGCATACTGAGCAATATCGTTCTCTGATTGGTTGACGCTTCACAGCTAAGTATGCAGTGCTGCCCCCATCAAAAAGAATACGACATTAGCACGACCCAAGCGAAACATGTCACACCAACGACCAATCTTCCTTGTTAACTTTACCATGCTTACGATCTCACTTTTTTCGCCCCGTAGAATTCTCGAGTAGCATATTTGCGGACGTCTTGAAACGACGACCATTTCTACAATTATAAAAATTGTCGAAAACCCGAAAGCTACATTTTGGATAATACTTTCTAGTTTATGAATCTACAAAATTTTGTTAATTCAGCTATCTCAGTACTTGTCGACTGGGACGACCAGCAACCAATATTGCGAAAAGGAGTTTCCAAAGCAACGAATAATTTCGCAATTTTATACGATTTTTACTTTAAAAAATTTGAGGAACAAATCTGAAATTTGCATCCATATTCTCTTAGAAAGACTACATATTTAATTTTGTAATTACGTACAAAAAATTCTCAAACACAAATATTTAAAGAATTAGAGAAGATTTATTAAGAATTATTGAAGATTGGAACAATTTACTGGCAGGAAAGATTAAAAAACTCCATGAAACAATTTCAAAACGTCTAGTAGAAATTTTGATCCGCAATCTACAACGAAACTATAAATATGTATAAGGAATGATTGCTTTTGTGGGTTTGGATTTTTTCTGCTTGCATGAATTGAGGCGTTATTGTGCATTTCGTGACTCATGATTTAGGGTTGTAAATCGCACGGCCTGGCGGCCGAAAAAACCTAGCACTTACTAGCACGGACAAAAGGAGTTTTCGCAGGTAACGGTAATCCTTTTATTGCTTCGTGAAAGAAACGAGACCTCCGAAAGCAAGTTTACTTTTTAGTAAACGTTTAGCTTAAGAAATACAGTACAATAGAATAAAGAAATACCGTTTTAGTTACCGTTAAATGCGTTCGGGAATTTAATATGTCAGTATTTTAGGGCGTTTGAATTCTTGCTGCGAATATATCAGAATCTTAATCGATCATGATACTTGTGTAAGCGAATTTCGAAACCAGTAACATAACGGTGGTAACAGTGATGGGTTATGCCAATTTCCGAGTGCGCGCCTTTATTCAAAAGAAACATTTGTTCATAGAAATTAAAGTCGGTCTGAAGTAACAGTAAATTCAAGTAAAGTAAAAATAAATTGTAGGTTTTTGAGTGGTTTCTCCAGGAAGAAACGAGTGAATATCGGAAGAGATGATTCAAGCCGAAATGAATCAGAAAATTTCCCTTCGACCCCATTTGTTCGTCAAACAATACCAACGAGTTCCTCTGAAAAGCTGTTACTTTCTTCAGAAAGTAACATTTTATTGAATTATGACTCACAGATGGTGATCAGAAAACGAAACACCATCTAGTCTTCATAGATTCCTTTTTTTGCATGCTTTGTCAAGTCGAAATGCTTTCCCGGTTTTATTGCCTGCAACGTTAGAACGAAAGATTGCACACTCTATTCGTATTGTACCGGTTCCGTAGTTCCGTCTCGCTTTGTTTTGATTATGGGCGAAGCAAGTCTGGTCCNTCATAGATTCCTTTTTTTGCATGCTTTGTCAAGTCGAAATGCTTTCCCGGTTTTATTGCCTGCAACGTTAGAACGAAAGATTGCACACTCTATTCGTATTGTACCGGTTCCGTAGTTCCGTCTCGCTTTGTTTTGATTATGGGCGAAGCAAGTCTGGTCCTGCCTGCAAGTTTGAACACGTTTCGACAGTGCCGGGCGGCCTGGCACGCTGCGAGCACGACGTGCGTAGTGTAAACATTTCAATGTAAATCAAACGTAAGAATGATTCGGCCTTGGTCGGCCTCGGAGCACGGCCCGAGCCTAGCACGTAGATGTGAATCGACCCTTAATACGCCACGAATAGTTACTACGATACGCGCCTGAGGTTGGCTAATGCCAATGGATTACAATCTGTAAAATTCGTAAGGAATAATTACAACATTACAATCGATACTGTAAAAATATAAATTCTGTCGCTCTAGTGCATCCATATGAAATATGCATTTTTTCGCTTCTTTTAGGGTTTTTGGTATTTTGCAGTCAGAATTTTCAATTAAAAAGTCTCAAATGAATTACAGAGTATGAGTGCGGGTGCTTCGTATAGAGTTACTCACAAAATTGAGATGTGATAATCATGGAAAATAATAAAAACAGATTCACAGAAATGATACTATTATATGAGATACTCTTCATAATAAAATCTTGAATATTCCCAATATGGCTATGTACTGAATTGTGGTAGGATGAAATCTGCCGACAGGTGGCACGAGAATCGGCGATGTCCATTGGTGTCTAGTGTATCTAATGGCATTAGGAATTCTGCTTGGAATCTGTTCCAAGTTGCGTATAGGAAATGGAATTGAATGAACTCAATACATTGCCAAAGGAATCCATTGGCATCATTCAATCATTTGTGAGGATTTCCCTTCACTACTCTACAGCACATTCCTATATTTCTCCTTAAAATTTAAATAAATTAATTTCGGAGGTAGCATTAGTTGCAATGAAAATAGAATCACAATTTGACGACAGATGGCAGTAGCATTGCTTGCTCCCATTAATATGGCCGACGTATATTGACCCCTCCGCCTTCGTTTTATAGCCAGCGTCTGAATATGGAGTTTATATTCATATTCCTTGATCTCCATGACTTGAGCTAACAAATCGCTTTTTGAATTTCAAATAAATCTGGGAGTATCTCGTGATTTTTGATTTATAGAATTACTAAATGAGCTTTAACATCGAAAATGAAAATATTCGAGAATGTCCTCGTATATCTGAAATGAGGAGGGTATCAATTCATCGTGAAATGTACCGTTGTTACTACATTCGAATAAATTTGGCCCTAAAAAGGGCCGGTTTTTAAAAATGAAGTAGAAATTAAGCTCGTTCTCCACGAATACGACGAGCCAGCTGGATGTCTTTTGGCATGATGGTGACGCGCTTGGCGTGGATGGCACAAAGGTTAGTGTCTTCAAACAGGCCAACAAGGTAGGCCTCGCTGGCTTCCTGAAGAGCCATGACAGCGGAGCTCTGAAAACGCAGGTCGGTCTTGAAGTCCTGAGCGATTTCACGAACCAGACGCTGGAAAGGCAGTTTACGGATGAGAAGCTCGGTACTCTTCTGATATCTTCTGATTTCACGAAGAGCAACGGTTCCAGGCCTGTAGCGATGGGGTTTCTTCACTCCTCCAGTTGCAGGCGCACTCTTACGAGCGGCCTTCGTTGCCAACTGCTTACGTGGAGCCTTTCCACCAGTTGATTTACGAGCGGTCTGCTTGGTACGTGCCATTTCTTCTACGAAGGTTATGAAAGCACAAAGAACTGAAGTCCGTCCGGATGCGTGACTCAACAGCAATTGTGTCCGACGGCCTGAAAGTCGTGGTTTTATGCGCTCCGGTTTGCCGCAGAGCGGCGCTGATTGGTCGAATGAGTAGTGGTGGGGAGACCGGTCTGAAAAGTATAAAATTATGTCGGCTACGGCGGAGGACCAGAGTTGCTCTTTGAGCGTTGAAGAGATCATATCTTAATCGAGCATCATGACTGGCCGTGGAAAGGGAGGAAAGGGATTGGGAAAGGGAGGAGCGAAGCGTCACAGGAAGGTTTTGCGTGATAACATCCAAGGTATCACCAAACCAGCCATCCGTCGTCTGGCTCGTCGTGGCGGTGTGAAACGTATTTCTGGATTGATCTACGAAGAAACTCGTGGTGTTTTGAAAGTTTTCCTTGAAAACGTTATCCGCGACGCTGTTACCTACACCGAGCACGCCAAGAGGAAGACTGTGACTGCAATGGATGTCGTATACGCTCTGAAGCGTCAAGGAAGAACCCTTTACGGTTTCGGTGGTTAAATTTCCTATTTCGACCATCATATCCATCAAAACGGCCCTTTTCAGGGCCACCAAATCTTTAAACGACGAAAGCGCTCCATTCGACAATCATTTAATTTTTAAAAATCTATTCAATTCTCAAACCTTGAATATATGTTTCGTATATTTCGTACCTTCTAAGAAATTTAGAATGAATTAACTGTTTGATAGGTTAATCTCGTTGAGTAAACTTATTTAATTTTAGAATTGAAATCGTAGTGTAGGTTTGTTTAGTATTAACCATTTTTTTATAAGATTTGGCATTGCATATAAGTATCTAGAATTTTTGTGGTTTATAGTTACTTCTTGAAAGTCCCAATGTCAGATTTAAACTGTTACGTCAACGACCGATATGGAAGGCGTGTGTAGCGTCGTCCGTTGCTCTCTTCGCATTGCTTCTGCATTATAAATGGATTCTTTTCTAAATGGAATTTACGTTAAAGTTATTTTATGAATCATCCGAGCAATATCTTACTGGCATTCTGTTGTCAAAAGGAGAACGAAACTTGGCATAAAGACAAACCTAACCTCAGCCTTGGGAGTCACCCCTATAATCGATTCCCATACCGAAGGGATTAATGTATGGCTTTATGGGCTTGGCTCCTACCTATGACGAAATGTGAAGCTTTTATAATTATTGTAGCGTAATATTATTGAAATAAACATGTGTGTATTCGTCCCGATGTAAAGAAAATTACATAAATTAGTTTTAGAAACACGAGTGGCTAGTATGTATTGTATAACAGGAGTTGAAACTATTTAGACAGTTCAATTCTGATTATATCGACTCGAATACGAAAAATACCTCTGTGAAATATCCTTCCATTTGATCTTTCGAGTAGATTTAATATTAACGAATTTTGTACTTCCTAAAATGTTTATCAATGTCGACTATCTACAAGAAATGAATACATACTTCTTGTGTATAGAAGATTAAAATCATATAACATGTTTCTCTATACGGGGAGTAGACTTTTAATACAAAAAAAAGTATGTATTCGTTTCTGTGCATTTATACCTCGTTCGCTACAGACTACAATGTTTAAATCTTGAATTTTGGAAACCTATCCTGGATAAAAAGGATACACAATCATTTTAGAACTATGCTTCAGCAGATATGGGAAAAACGGCTATTTTAATTTAGTTGAACAGGAGTAATGTCTGCATTTTGACAATATTGTTGGCCTTAAAAAGGACCATCACACACACATAACATATTCACAGAATAATAACTGCAGTTCTTTTATACCGCGTTCATGCCCATAATCGATAATAATTGAACATCAAGAAAATTGCTACGATATGCGCGAAACGTGAAATAATGCGCTAAAATGCGACTTTGTCATGAACCACGTTTAGACGAGCTTAAAGAATGGGAAACATGACTATACGAAAGGAATATCTGCATTAAACAAAAAAGTTAAATATCTGTACCTCATGGGAATAGGAGTGGTCTGTAGAATTGTCGCAAGTAACGTACATTGAGGATAACGCCAAAATTTAGGTGAGAATAGAATTGCTTCGTGAACGAAGTGGTCTGCGTAGAAATATTTGTTGGCCCTGAAAAGGGCCGTTTTATCAGCGTAGAAGAGGCGTTTACTTGGAGCTGGTGTATTTGGTAACAGCCTTGGTTCCTTCAGAGACTGCGTGCTTTGCAAGTTCACCTGGCAACAGGAGCCTGACGGCGGTTTGGATTTCCCGGGATGTAATGGTGGATCTTTTGTTGTAATGAGCCAGACGAGACGCTTCAGCAGCGATACGCTCAAAAACATCATTGACAAAACTGTTCATGATGCTCATGGCTTTGCTGGAGATTCCAGTGTCAGGGTGGACCTGCTTCAACACCTTGTAGATGTAGATCGCGTAGCTTTCCTTCCTCCTCCTCTTCTTCTTCTTGTCAGTTTTGCTGATGTTTTTCTGGGCTTTGCCGGCCTTCTTCACGGCTTTTCCGCTCGCTTTAGGTGGCATGATTGAAGTTTCTTCGAGAGCTCGTAACGTTCACTCTAAGAGAACTACAGATGGAATGGGTATGGCACCGGAGTCGGCCTGTATTTATATCGCTAGGTGGTACTAGCAGCGCACCAATCGCGTGCGAGCTCAGGCTGGCGGCCATATGTCTGCATTCCCGCCATTATCATGGCGATGCTGACATCTGCTTTTACTGAACGACCGAGGATCTAAAATATTACACATTGTATATTGTTGTATCTATTTGACAAACCCTAACTGGAGTTATGTACTATAAAATTTGTTAGCGAAGCAAAATTTTTACGTTATCACATATGACAATTAAAAGATTGTATTTTATTTAAAGTTTTACATACGTAGGTATATATTTTGCAATAAGTATTTAATAAGATTATCGTAAGGGAATTCGAAGAAAGGAATGAATGTCTAAAACAATGCTTCCTTTTCCAGGAAACGTCCAAGATACTTGAGAATACAATTATATGTAGAAGCTATAAGCAATTTGAAACACGAGACTGAGACGACGTTACCATCTTCGCGAGATCCTTGAAGGTTTGGGACAAGATGATTGTATATTTTCTCTGTATATTTCTTTGCAAAGAGACTAAGTGGAACGAAATGCGAGGACGCGCTTTGGGCGCGTCCACTTGGGACTGTCCCATTTTCTTTCTCAGAGACGTTTTCCACATCAAAAGGGACCGAGGGCTGAAGAAGTCAGTCTGTATTTGCATTTCGGCACGAAGCGATCATCGGAAAATATATGTATATTCTCTATCAGACAATTTTTATCTCTTCGCTATACCCTCGCTTTTTCGGTTCGATCACCGACCAAATCGTCATCCACCGTACAAAACTGGCGACACAGCGTTGTTAGAATTTTGCCTGGACAAGGCAAAAAAATCGCCTGTTGCAGACGTTCATCGAATGAATAGTTTTGACTTTCCGAATAAACGAATTAAAAAAAATATGAAATATGTTTTTCGTGCGCGACGCATTATTATTCAGTAAAAACTGAAGTGTGATTTACTTTTGGTAGAATGTACTTAAATTATGCATAATCTTGTTGTAAAATTAGATTTACCTAATAATTTATTTATCACGTAACTTATTCTATCAAATTCAGATAATAATATATTGGTTAAAAATTACGCTACGCTGATATATATATATTATCCGCTACAAATCTTGCAGGGACAAAATTTATACTATATTTGCTTTTTGATATATCTTATGTTTCTATTTCTTAATTTTGAAAACGAAAAAAGAGTCACGATTTATTAAAATGAAATTATTTATTTTATTTAAGCGGGATATACCCATCAGTACAAAGAAGGAATATAAAAATTAAGATTTGATATTATAATCATAATGTATAGTAACGATTGAGAACACTATAGCTAGCCTCATCATAGAAAAAGTTCTCTGTTGTATTAAAAAAATCCATTCCCACTTAGGTCGTTATTCAATATTCTACTGTTAAGACACTACAATTCTTGGAAAATTCTGCGACGCCTGTTGAAAAATCTTATCCAAAAATTTTGTGGGTTCCTAATTTTCGAATTTCTTCTGTTTACAAATTTCTCTAAATTTTGCAGCAAATATAGATGTTATCAGGATAGATATGTCAGCTAAGAAACTACACGAGGAGAAGTAAAAAACACACAGTACACAGTACAAAACACAACTCAGAAGAGCACATAGTTACGTGTTCTATTTAGTTCTATTATGTTCTATTTAGTTATCTTCGGTACAATACGAGTTGGGCAAATTTTGTTTTAAATAATAAATTACAATAGACGAGTGAGTCCAAAATAGCAGCTATCCAGGAATCCATGTTACACATTTTTCCATCGCAGACGCCTTCTGTATTAAATTAATCCTAAATCGGAGAAGAGAGAAAAGCATACATACGACGGATGCTCTCTATGGACACTGGAAACCCGTTCTAGAACGAAGTGCTCATTCATCACTAATTTTATACGAGTCTATTGTACCGCAGATAATTGTGGCTATGGGAACCTCTGCTATATTGCTTTCCTGACGAACTCCGTATTTGGTTTTATTCATTTCATAGGAACGGGATAATAAAGGTTTGATAGGATATAATTTTATTTCATGTTTATAGCGGACATGAGTGCCCAGATGCATTACTAGATGGCTCTGAAACACGTCTTTTCGATCGGCCATTGAAAATATAGTTCTGTAGCGAATAGGATTGCTCTACGTATGAAAATTTGGTGGCCCTAAAAAGGGCCTTTTATGATAGAATGAAGTTATGGTTGAAGAACAATTATTTCTTCGCTGGTGATTTGGCGACTTTTCCTGCAGAGGATTTTCTCGATGTAGAGGCTTTCTTCGGCTTGGGCGTCTTCGTTTTAGCGGCCGGTGCCTTCGCGGTCTTCTTAGCCTTCGACATGCTCTTAGGCTCGCTGGCTGCCTTGACTTTAGCGACAGCTTTAGCCGCTGTCTTCTTCGCGGCGACGGCCTTCTTCTCGGAAGATTTTTTCGGAGAAGCGGGCTTCTTTACCGGGGAGGCTTTCTTAGCGACGGACTTCTTTTCGACAACAGGTTTCCTGGACTCTCTTCGGGAGCTCTTCGGTTTCCCAGCCTTCGTGGTCTCCGTTGTAGATTTGCCGGTGTTCAATTTGAAGGAACCAGACGCACCTTTGCCTTTAGTTTGCAGCACCGCGCCAGAAGTGACGGCAGTTTTCAAGTACCTTCTGATGAACGGCGCCAGCTTCTCGCCGTCGACGGTGTACGTCGACGTGATGTACTTCTTGATAGCCTGCAACGACGATCCCTTGCGATCTTTCAGCTCCTTTATGGCAGCGTTCACCATCTCGGATGTTGGAGGGTGAGACGACTTCGTACGTTGAGCTTTCGCCTTCGATTTTGTCACTTTTTTCGCAGGAGTGGAGCCCGATGTCGGGCTCTCGGATACCGCAGCGCTTCCAGAGTTAGTCTTGTCCTCCATTGTTAACAGACGATCGTCAAAGATTTTCTTCTGAGGGTCTGCGACGACTGGCGAAACAAGTTTGTTCGGAAGGAAAGATAATCCCTTTTTTCTCGTGTATGTTACGAGATCGAATCCGTTCCTGCCTGATGATACTGTCAAGTACTATTAAGTTTGTGTGCAGTGAGGTGGATCCGTAGACTGCTAGATGTTCCTGGTTACTTTGGAAAGTAACATTATATTATGATGGCACGAATGTGATCACGATTTTGGTAGCGTGAGCACGGACCATGGAGAGGAGCTCGGCCAATATGTCGGATGCCGCGAATCGTCAACACCAACCAACCGGTAAACTAAGTTCAGCTTTCGGTGTTTATTTCGTCGCTCCCGATGCACGATGATCGATTTACGACACGTCAGATTGTAGCTAGTTGTTTGTAGTTTCAATAATGATACTGTATCAGAGAGTGATTCATCCGTACGACCCTGTATCGCACCGTAGATCAGCGTCCCTCTTTTCGGTGCGATAGTACATCTCGTAGAAAAACATGAAAATATATAGTTTTTTAAGTGCATCCGACCGTAAAAGTCATCCTGATTCGTACAAAAGGAACCGATGCTAATTTATATCGTGTTTCCACAATGATTTCTTTCACGAAATCGGCGAAAACTTCGTTCGAATTTCACCGAGTGGTGGTGTTCGTCGCAAACCATGACGCTCCCTGTTGTTGGATTAAAATCCATTGCCATGAATCCATTAAACATTCATTTTTTGCAACTTAAATCTTTTTCTCGTGATTTTTTTTCTCCAGCTGCAACTATTTTTACGCTACTACTTAATTTTGTCCTCTTTTTTAATCATTTCAGTTTGAGGATCCGTCTTTCTGGATAGACATGTCTCATAAGAAAAAAATAACGGCAACGATAAATCGAACTAAACGAAGAAATTGTATTTTTCTTGTTAGAGGTTTTACATTCGATTGTAATAGATCGGTTTAGAAAAGAAATACGGTTTACTAGTAAAGTTTTGATTGCGGTACGATGTGAAAAGAACATAGGTGTATTCTGCTACAACACATCGTTAATATGGAAATATCATTAACATGGTTCGTATGCAACGTTTTACGTTGTTTTTGTTGTGGAATATTACTTAATTATACTGTTCGCATAAATTCATTTTATTTTCTACTGTAGCCTGTTCCCGAAAATTTACCGTGATATCAAGCATAATTATGATGAAACGAGTCCTGTGCTCAAAGAATGCTGTGAATCGTTGTTATTTAAGCTTAACAAAATATATATTGATAAATTATAGATCTCGGACGTACTCGCCATTTTCCACTACGTGTGACTACGTGTATCATGAAAAGATAGCATTTGGTGATAATATTGTCAAAATTTATTGCATTTGATACAAATTCATGTATCGCGATATATGAGACGAATATTAAATGTTCGTAAACGGATCTTAATAAATATTTTAGCAATAATGCAATATTATAAAAAACATATATGTAAATAAATTATAATACACGCCATCGTCAATTCACTTGTTAGAACGAAGTTGTACTTCAGTTTCTTTATTGAATATGCATTTTCAAGTCGGCTAAAATATTTTTAAAAAATATACATCCTCAATAGAGCAAAGAAAGTCATTAATTTCCATAGCATAATCATTATTATTCATGTGCATAATGCTTATGGGTTACGAATCAGTTCGGTAGCAGAGTAAAGCAGTTCTTAAACACATTCAAGTATGGTGGACTATTTCGGCCTTAGATCATATATATATACCATGTAGATAGTGAATGTACAGAGAATCCAAGAGTGAAACAAACATAACTCTGACGTCACGCGGAGTAAAAGATGATCATTCAAAATCGCTGATCAATAGTCGAAACTATGAGCATATGTACGATAATGATGTAGAATCAAATCATATTGTTCAATTAATTAAAATAATCAGTATCAACATCTCAATTAAACTTTAAATATATTGGTTGAACATCGGTGTGTCACTCTTTCGAAATTATACACATAAAGTAATGGGACTTACTTCTGCACAGTTTCAGGCCGTAGCTCGATCCGTTAGCACGAGTCGATGTAGAAATGTCCATTGCTCTGATTGGCTGACGATACACTGTTGAGACAGGCTCCGTTGAGGATTGGATGCGCAGTAAAATGTGCGCGCCAACGTAGGGTCTAAGAACAGCGTGCAGCAGTAGGTTCAATTCCTATATCATACTAGCATAGTTTATACATCAAGTTCATTATAACATCGTATAGATGATTCGTCTGGACTTCAGGCAAACTATCCGAAGCCGTGTCTATAGTTATACATGGTCCAAGGTATATACATTGATTCCTAAGTTCCTGCAAAACTCTCCGGCCGCTGCGCGCTCCGTTAGCGAAATAGGAGTAGAAATTGCTTTGCTCTGATTGGCTGACGAGTCACTGTTGAGACAGGCTCCATTGAGGATTGGATGCGCAGTAAAATGTGCGCGCCAACGTAGGGTCTAAGAACAGCGTGCAGCAGTAGGTTCCATTCCTATATCATATTAGCATAGTTTATACATCAAGTTCATTATAACGTCATATAGATGATTCAACTGGACTTCAGACAAACTATCCGAAGCCGTGTCTATAGTTATACATGGTCCAAGGTATATACATTGATTCCTAAGTTCCTGCAATCTCTCCGGCCGCTGCGCGCTCCGTTAGCGAAAATAGGAGTAGAAATTGCTTTGCTCTGATTGGCTGATGATTCAATGCTAAGAGAGGATTCAACGCGGATTAGATGCGCAGTAAAATGGTGGATATACTTACAGAAGCTACGGGAAGTAGAAAAATCGTGCACAACACGATTGTATATACACTGTATGATCTAACAAGATAGAGCATTTTCGAAGACTCGTCTGGAATGTGTTACTGTGAGGGGCAGGGGGATCGGAGAGTGCTAGCAAAACTGCCATCGGAATCCATGGTACTGTTGCGTGACCACACGAACATAGCTATGATTTGCGATGGTGATAACGTATAATATCCTCCGACAAATGGCGATAAGAGGAAGATTCAAATGTAAAATGTAACGTTATGGTTATGGTTGTATATTTCACCACCGCCAATCATCATCGAGCTGCATCCAGATGACGGGCCATTCGACGAATGAGCGTCTAGCTGGAGAACTCCGATTTTCTTATTGGCCAAGAAGAAAGGACTGGAAAGGAAGCCGGGAGGTCTGCCGTTTCTCGTGGAGTTCCGCATTTTCTTCCAGCTTCCTTCTCGTCCTTCCGTCTCAGCCAATAGAACAATTAGAGTCTTCCAACTGGACATTGATTTGTCGGATGGTCCTTGTTCCGGTTGCAGTTTGATGGTGATTGGTGGGTCGATAGTGCGCGCATGCGGGGTAGAGTGCGTAGAAGTCGAGCGGGAAAGGCTGAAAGCCCGCCAAAACGAGAGGTGTGGTAGTATGATGCGCGCGAAGATTTCGACTCGAGGTTAAACAAAAAGAGATAGGCGAGGGAGAGTTCCAAGAAGTCCTTGTCTGAAGGTTTACGACTTTCTGTCCCGAAGGGATCAGGGTTTGCGACTGCGACTCGTCTTGTCTGCGTGAAATTGGAGAAGATCTTTCGAGAGACTACGTGACTTTCTCTGCATTCCTCAATTAGTCTCGCTAACAAAAACTCGTCAAAGAATTTTGTGGCAACTCTCTCGTTATCTCCTTCTCTATTCTCAGCTATTGCTCTCGGACAATAATACACAACTATGAAATACCATTATACGAACGATCTCAACGTTACGTTTCACATTTAAATTTCCCTCCTGTCGCCATTTATATGAAACGTATCATATAGTAGAGCTGTTGTAATATTAAATAGTAGCTATGTTCGCATCGGTCATGCAACGTAGCAGCATAACACACAAGTTATCGCATTCATGACTAAGATATTGATCTTTGTAATGTAAAATACCGTCTAAATATTCTAATGCATTATTTTTGTTTATCTAAAAAGCATTTATTATCTTATTTTCAACATTTACTGTTACTGAGCTTTTCTAATGTCCAATTACATTCTCCAATGAAATGAAGTAGACCGGATAGCGCCACCTTCGCTTTTTTCAAATTCATACAGATTTTCTTCTAATCTAGAAGTGTGCCATTTGGTGCAGCCGTCGAAAAGTGTAGTTGAAAATGTGCAAGTAGTGCAAGTGTAGATCAATGTAAACATTTGTACATATATACATATATATATTAATTAAGGTGTTTTTTTATTGAGTTTATGAACATATATTTCTTAAATATATATTCTTCTTTCCTAATGAATTTTCAATCCTCTATAAATGATTTTCAGATAATACTGAAAATGTTTTTTCAATGTTCTGTGCAAGGTATATAGCATACCGAAGGATATTGGCGCCATCTACAGGGCAGTCATCTGTAGTGAAATTCTAATGATTTTTTGTGACTATGACTCACATCAAAGTGAAAATTAATGGCAAATGATCTGTATACCGTATAAGTAAACAACAGTAATTTTATTATAAGTACATCATTTTGTTATAGTGGTATGTATGAACAAATTAGAAATATAATCCTTTATGCGATTGTTTGACTCCAGTATGATTAACTACTAAGAAATTGTATCATGAAAACGCGTGTGTATTGTACGACCGACTAGATTCCATTCTAAATGTTTCAATCCTGACAAAGGCAACAATGCAACGTAACCCTTGTTCAAAATCAAAATATTGTAATATTACAAGAAATGTACAATCAATAAAAACACATGCATGTCTTTCTTTCAAAAAATATTTTATTTATCCTTCGTCTAAAAATACACGTATGTAAAAACTACGTGCTAAATAAAATTTCACAATCTCATGTAACAAACTACCTTAAAAATTGTCGAACTATTTAGAGAGAAATAGTTATTGAATGATAAATTATATTAACACTAGAGATGGAAAAATTTTTAAATCAAATCTTGAACAGTAGATTTTATCCAATTTTGTCGGAAGAGAAATTTTCCCATTGAAAGTTTATGCTCTAAGAAAGCTTGTTCTTGTTATTGCAATATCTACTTGGCGATATTAATCAGTGACAGGATTAGCATTGTAGCGAATACAAATTCGGAATGATTCATAACATATTCGCCGAATAGTAACTGCAGTTTTCTTTTATACCGCGTTCATGCCCATAATCGATAATAATTGAACATCAAGAAAATTGCTACGATATGCGCGAAACGTGAAATAATGCGCTAAAATGCGACTTTGTCATGAACCACGTTTAGACGAGCTTAAAGAATGGGAAACATGACTATACGAAAGGAATATCTGCATTAAACAAAAAAGTTAAATATCTGTACCTCATGGGAATAGGAGTGGTCTGTAGAATTGTCGCAAGTAACGTACATTGAGGATAACGCCAAAATTTAGGTGAGAATAGAATTGCTTCGTGAACGAAGTGGTCTGCGTAGAAATATTTGTTGGCCCTGAAAAGGGCCGTTTTATCAGCGTAGAAGAGGCGTTTACTTGGAGCTGGTGTACTTGGTAACAGCCTTGGTTCCCTCAGAGACTGCGTGCTTGGCTAATTCACCAGGTAACAGGAGCCTGACAGCGGTTTGGATTTCCCGGGATGTAATGGTGGATCTCTTGTTGTAATGAGCCAGACGGGAAGCTTCAGCAGCGATACGCTCAAAAACATCATTGACGAAACTGTTCATGATGCTCATGGCTTTGCTGGAGATTCCAGTGTCAGGGTGGACCTGCTTCAACACCTTGTAGATGTAGATCGCGTAGCTTTCCTTCCTCCTCCTCTTCTTCTTCTTGTCAGTCTTGCTGATGTTCTTCTGGGCCTTGCCGGCCTTCTTCACGGCTTTTCCGCTCGCTTTAGGTGGCATCTTCGTGAATTGGTTCGTAAGCTTCAAAATGTGCAAGTTACCTTGACGAAAGTTGAAGACTGAATGTCCAGTGCCAGGAAAACGCCCTGTATATATAACGGGATGCGGCGCCACGCGAGCGCCAATGGGAGACGAGCGCGCACGCTATTGGCCGACCGTTGCACCATCTGGAGCGTATATAACTGAAGCAGTGCCGCGTCAAGCGTCAGATCTCGATTGTATTTCGTTCGGTTCGTTTCGACTGTATTTTTCGCAAGTTTATCCATCATGTCTGGACGCGGTAAAGGGGGCAAAGCTAAGGGAAAGGCGAAGTCCCGTTCTAACAGAGCTGGTCTTCAATTCCCTGTCGGTCGTATCCATCGTCTGCTCCGCAAAGGAAATTATGCCGAGCGCGTTGGAGCCGGTGCTCCCGTTTACTTGGCAGCGGTGATGGAATATCTGGCCGCTGAAGTGTTGGAGCTGGCAGGAAACGCTGCCCGTGACAATAAGAAGACTAGAATTATCCCGAGACACTTGCAGTTGGCCATCAGAAATGACGAGGAATTGAACAAGCTTCTCTCCGGAGTTACCATCGCACAGGGCGGCGTACTGCCCAATATCCAGGCTGTTCTTTTACCAAAAAAAACCGAGAAGAAAGCTTAACTACACAATAGTACAACATTATCATAAATGGCCCTTTTCAGGGCCACAATTTTTTCATACGAAGGAAACGGTTCATTCAACGATCTGTATTACTAGCTATTGTAAAAATGAGAAATCTCCTGAAGTACTGTTAATTTGATATGGTTACATGGGTTTACATGCCCTGGTTTAGAATGTTAGATTGCGCGTATGAAATATATATGTATATGTTCCGAATTAGAGAGATACGGAATTTTTACAGTTACTAGTGTCACAGATTTTCTTTAGGTTTTCATGGGAAACATTTGTGTTCGGACAAACACGATTCACTATTTTTAAAGAAAAAGATACGAACGTGGGCATTTCGAAGTAATCATAGTCACTGTAGAGACAATGATTTATGACCGAAATATCGTAATCACGAATTTACTAGGACCAGTCGTCTGCACGATTCTTAAGAATCCATTGACCTTCTAAACATGTGTGAATGAATGTGCCACAATAGATTTTTTGCACAAGCGAGGCGTCAGATATTTGTCCGTGTATGGTACTTCTTTTAGTGTGGGAAAGATGTCCTGTCCTAGGACACTTTCCTTTTTTCATGAAAGCATACCATAAATGGCCGTGAGAATCGCCAGTCTCGGTCAACACGGGAAGACTGCTTTTATCTGAAATATTTTCCCGCTTGCGTCCTTGAAACGCATAGTTTCCTGGCTCGTTGGTTTTTGAGACGGTTTTAGCGCATCTACGAACAGAAACAAATGCTAGCCGGAGAGTTGAACCGTTTCTGCATTTTTTTACAACGCGACAATTCTCGTCGCGTGATTGGTTTACATTGGTATTATTTATGCGTTACCTTTACGCATGCACCAAGTTTTACTCAATGTTTTATCACTCCTTTTCCAATCATAAATTAACCGAAAGTGAAATAGCGTCGGACTCCGTGCATTAGATTTCATTATTGTTAGAAATAAAGAGACCCGTAGAGTATAATGATGTTTAGTCAGGGATACGATTTCTATATCGTAAAATTAGCTGAGTCATAAGGAGATCATATTAGGATGGTAGGTACAATATTTGAGCCGTTTATTTTTACCGTAATGAAAAGTGGTGATTTTTTAATGTTTATACGAAATTATTTATACTGAGAAAAATATCAGTATCCTAAGATAACAAATACAAGTAAATCTTCTCGAAAGTTAGCATCCATATTTTTAAACGTGTTAAAACACAAACCCTTAAATATATCGACTTAAAAACAAAGTGACTTATTATGCCACTTTCGAAATAAACGACTCATATCTTGATCTGAATTTTATTTTGGTGCACAAAATTTCATAAAAATCCGTTGTCTCTACTACCTTAATAAGATTCCTTTATGGACCAAGCTTTAGGACGTTTTAACATATTCGTTGCCAAGCCTGTTTTGAAAAAATGTGTTCTAAACACTAGCATTTTTTGTTTAAATAGATAAATAAGTAAGAAATAATAAGTAAATGTTGGATGGACTGGTCTCGAACTTCAAATTGCTTAGGTAGAACAAAATATTAAAAAAATCCTGTAACAGTCGCATCATAGTCAGCATCGACTACGAAATATCTAGTAGTTGGCAGTATATGAGTTAACAATATACTGCTGTAGGAAAGTACGTAAAAACTTAATATAAATTGTCAATTAAACCTAAAAAATATTTAACATCGAATTAGATTAATTATACTTTCAGTCCTTAACATGTTTCGTGTCGAGGTAGAAGAACGATAATACAACCACTCCTTTGCTTTAATCAGCATTTACTAATTGCAAGCGTAACTGATATTCTAGAAGAACGGATTAGGTATATGATATTAATCTGGAATATGTATGTGTGAAGCATCATCAAAGAACGTTCTTTAACAGAGCTTCTCAAAGGGCAGCGTACCAGTTGAAATTCAGTGTTACTACGTTTAACAAATTTTGGCCCTGAAAAGGGCCGTTTGTGAATAGATAGAAAGAAGCAAATTAAGCTCTCTCTCCACGAATACGACGAGCCAGCTGAATGTCTTTAGGCATGATGGTGACGCGCTTGGCATGGATGGCGCAAAGGTTAGTGTCTTCGAACAGACCAACTAGATAGGCCTCGCTGGCTTCCTGAAGAGCCATGACAGCGGAGCTCTGGAAACGCAGGTCGGTCTTGAAGTCCTGAGCGATTTCACGAACCAGACGCTGGAAAGGCAGTTTACGGATGAGAAGCTCGGTACTCTTCTGATATCTTCTGATTTCACGAAGAGCAACGGTTCCAGGCCTGTAGCGATGGGGTTTCTTCACTCCTCCAGTTGCAGGCGCGCTCTTACGAGCGGCCTTCGTTGCCAACTGCTTACGTGGAGCCTTTCCACCAGTTGATTTACGAGCGGTCTGCTTGGTACGTGCCATTTCTTCTACGAAGGTTATGAAAGCACAAAGAACTGAAATCCGTTCGGATGCGTGACTCAACAGCAATTGCGTTCGTGCGACCTGCAAGTCGTGGTTTTATGCGCTTCGGTTCGCCGCAGGGTGGCGCTGATTGGTGGAATGAGTAGTGGTGGGGAGACCGGTCTGAAAAGTATAAAATTATGTCGGCTACGGCGGAGGACCAGAGTTGCTCTTTGAGCGTTGAAGAGATCATATCTTAATCGAGCATCATGACTGGCCGTGGAAAGGGAGGAAAGGGATTGGGAAAGGGAGGAGCGAAGCGTCACAGGAAGGTTTTGCGTGATAACATCCAAGGTATCACCAAACCAGCCATCCGTCGTCTGGCTCGTCGTGGCGGTGTGAAACGTATTTCTGGATTGATCTACGAAGAAACTCGTGGTGTTTTGAAAGTTTTCCTTGAAAACGTTATCCGCGACGCTGTTACCTACACCGAGCACGCCAAGAGGAAGACTGTGACTGCAATGGACGTCGTGTATGCTCTGAAGCGCCAAGGAAGAACCCTCTACGGTTTTGGTGGTTAAATATCCAGTACTGTCACCAACCTTACAAATCGGCCCTTTTCAGGGCCAACAAATTTTCATACAAAGGATACTGTTCAGTTTATGAATTTCATATAAACCCTTGTCCCTTCACATTCATATATTTTTTAGTAATAAAAATTCCAATGCGTGTTAAAATGTTAGTGATCATAATTTTATAGTATATTTTATGCACTTACAATATTTTATTTCGTCTTCCTATGTCGTAGAAGTGTTATAATCTCGCGGAATATTGTTACGTGACGTGAAATTTAAATACAACATCGACTATCTCGACTATTCCTTACCGTACACTGACGTTTTCATTCCCAAATTTCTTGTTTTCGCTTAAAAAAGACTGCTTCATAGAAAATTATTGAATCATTAAGAAAGAAGAGAGATTTATCAACTTCACAAAATTGTTGTTACCTGGCAATATGTCCTAACATTAGAATTTTATTTGAATTATAACATTGCTCCACGTTGTAAAAACTTTGGTGGCCCTGAAAAGGGCCATTTGGAATGTTTTTAGATAATAATCAGGAATTTACTTCTTTCCAATTTTTCCTGGTTTACGAACGATCACCTTTTTCGGTTTCGGTGCTTTAGTTCTAGCGGTAGGTCCTTTGATAATTTTCTTACCTTTGGAAATAGTTTTCGATTCTGATTTTATTTTGATGGCGGAAAGAGTTTTCGTATTTTTTTTCAGTGCAGCAGATTTTTTCCCGAGAGACCTCGCGACCACCGACTTTTTGACAGCCATTTTAGCGACTTCAGCTCTCTTCACAGGCTTCTTGCGTGGACTTTGCCCTTTAGCCTTAACAGTAGACGAGTTGATCGAGAGTTTGAAAGATCCAGAAGCACCTTTGCCACTAGTCTGTACAACAGCGCCAGATGTCAACGCTGTCTTCAGATAACGCTTGATGAAAGGAGCCAATTTGTCACCATCGATTTTGTAAGTGGTCGATATGTACTTCTTGATGGCTTGAAGGGACGAACCTTTGCGATCTTTCAGCTCTTTGATGGCAGCATTCACCATCTCGGAGGTCGGAAGATGCGACGACTTTGAACGCTGAGATTTCGCCTTCGATTTTGCTGCCTTTTTCGCCGGGCTGGAGCCCAACGATGGGTTCTCAGAAACTGCAGTGTTTTCAGAGTTGATCTTGTCCTCCATTGCGAACAGAATGTCGGTAAAGTGTATCGTTGATCAAAGAAGCAAACAACAGTATCAAGTCGACTTGTACAGAAGTTTATATCTTTGGCAGATAGCGCCGAGAGCTGGCGGCAAGTGTATGTACACCGACCATGGAGAGAGACCGTTGCATTTTGTCAGCCTACTGCGCCAACTGCAACCGAGAACCTGCTAAACGAATTTTTCTGTAATATTTATTTCTTTAAAAACCGTGTACCACTCGGTCTTAATTATTGCTGTAGCACATACCGACGAGCATATATTGTTCATTTTACGTAATATTTTGGAAGTATATACCCGCGATACGTTGTACTAACATCTCTTTACCCGTTCACTCATTCGCGACGAGACTACGTTCGTTGAGAAAATTGAAAAATTATCACTTTCTGCGAATTGTTTTAGATCTATTCTACATAGCATAGAAAGAAAACAAGTTTACATAGCATATGCGATCGTTGTTTGATGCGTATATGCATGAAATAGTGGAAAAAATTACTCGAATTTGTCGGACTCATGGCTACTACGCATCTAGCATAGACTATATTCCTACTTTTGAATTGATTTTTCTATATTTTCGAGATTACAGTAAGAATTTTGGACAATAATATGTATAGCACTTATGAACGCCTTCGATATTCTATATTTTATCATATATGTATTTTTCAGACTGCTCGAATGGAGTGAGATAGAAAATTATGCTCGGTACCAGCAATGATCGGCGATCATGACTCCGCTAAGAAGAGGCAGTTGAAAGAATTTCCCTTGATCGAGAAAGAATAGCACAGCTGCATGCGAGGACAAAGGAGAGGAATCGGAATGTGCCCCTCTGGGGAACAGGCTTAGGGTGTCGCACATCTGTCCCGACCCAATGAACCTAAGTTGGGCCTGTAGAACACTCCGCCAGCCAAGTTTTCATACCGATTACTACATACTATAAATTAACCCTTTGCACTTTTAACCGTAAACCTAAAATAATTTTTCTCACTTATAGTATTTCCATTTTATATGACAAAGTGCATTTTATGCATATGAAATTGAGTCTTGTGGTGACTCGTACAACAATTACACCTTCAACAATTTCTTAAATGTAAACTTTGTAGCCAAGTTTTCATACCCATTACTACAAACTATAAATTAACCCTTTGCACTCGAAGCTAGTTTAATCATAAACCTAAAATAATTGTTCTCACTTATATATATTTCCATTTTATACGACAAAGTGCATTTTATGCATATGAAATTGAGTCTTGTGGTGACTCGTACAACAGTTACACCTTTAACAATTTCTTAAATGTAAATTTTGTTAATATAAAAATTATCTTGGAATTTGATATAATTTTTTTTTTAGTGGTGTCTCAGAGTCATCACTCGAGTGCAAAGGGTTAGAATTACGGGATCCACAATTCTTCACATTATAAGTTGGGAAACTTTTGTAAAACAACTGTAAAAGTTACAAGATTAATTCATAAGAAATCAAATTATTAGATACGTACTTGCATGTTTCAAGTTCTATGTTATTAGTTTTAGCCTTACATTAGTTGCAATGCAACTTTATTTATTGAATTCATAGCCTAGCAATACGGATAACCTAAAAACTCCTTTATTTTTCGGAGATAATATTATTATATTTCAGGTCCTCTAAGCTCTAATAAAAACTTTTACCAAATAGAATAAATTTAATTTTAGTTTAATTGCTTTTCATGACATTAATATAACCTACAGTATCTATCAAAACAGAGACAGATTCAAATAAAAGTTAACTTGAAGATTCTAAATTTATAAAACTTGAAGCAGGATACGCTCGTATCATATTTGTAGTTTATTTGGTGTGTGGTTCCTGGTTTGAGAAAATTGGGGCCCTGAAAAGNTATTTCCATTTTATATGACAAAGTGCATTTTATGCATATGAAATTGAGTCTTGTGGTGACTCGTACAACAGTTACACCTTTAACAATTTCTTAAATGTAAATTTTGTTAATATAAAAATTATCTTGGAATATGATATAATTTTTTTTTTAGTGGTGTCTCAGAGTCATCACTCGAGTGCAAAGGGTTAGAATTACGGGATCCACAATTCTTCACATTATAAGTTGGGAAACTTTTGTAAAACAACTGTAAAAGTTACAAGATTAATTCATAAGAAATCAAATTATTAGATACGTACTTGCATGTTTCAAGTTCTATGTTATTAGTTTTAGCCTTACATTAGTTGCAATGCAACTTTATTTATTGAATTCATAGCCTAGCAATACGGATAACCTAAAAACTCCTTTATTTTTCGGAGATAATATTATTATATTTCAGGTCCTCTAAGCTCTAATAAAAACTTTTACCAAATAGAATAAATTTAATTTTAGTTTAATTGCTTTTCATGACATTAATATAACCTACAGTATCTATCAAAACAGAGACAGATTCAAATAAAAGTTAACTTGAAGATTCTAAATTTATAAAACTTGAAGCAGGATACGCTCGTATCATATTTGTAGTTTATTTGGTGTGTGGTTCCTGGTTTGAGAAAATTGGGGCCCTGAAAAGGGCCGGTGTTTTCACCTCTGCAAATTTCAAACAATCAAGTTCTAGGTAATTTAAGCTCTTTCACCGCGGATACGACGAGCAAGCTGAATATCCTTGGGCATGATCGTTACTCTCTTGGCGTGGATAGCGCAAAGATTGGTATCTTCGAACAGGCCAACAAGATAAGCCTCGCTGGCTTCCTGAAGAGCCATCACGGCAGAGCTTTGGAACCGGAGATCGGTCTTGAAGTCCTGAGCGATTTCACGAACCAGACGCTGGAAGGGCAGCTTTCTGATCAGAAGCTCGGTACTCTTCTGATATCTTCGAATTTCACGAAGAGCAACGGTTCCAGGCCTGTAGCGATGGGGTTTCTTCACGCCTCCGGTTGCAGGCGCGCTCTTACGAGCTGCCTTGGTCGCCAGTTGCTTGCGTGGAGCCTTACCTCCAGTCGATTTACGAGCGGTTTGCTTGGTACGAGCCATCTTACGGAGAAATTAGTGAAAGAATCAAAGAAAACTCTCAACAGAACAGCGAAGCGAGTCGTCTGAACTAATACAATCGCTTCCTGAAAATCGTTCTTATATAGAAACCTCCAGATGGCCCAACTCTCCGATTGGCTGCGTCGCGGCAGGTGGGGGAACGGCAGATGTAAGGCCTCTCATTGGCTGCTACGATTTATGGTGGGGGAACCGGTCCCCATCTAGCACTATAAAAGCAGTATTTTTTGGTTGCTGCGTATTCAATCTTCTTCTGAGCGTTGTCGATTTGAGAGGCATTTCTTTTGATCGATATGACTGGTCGTGGTAAAGGAGGAAAGGGTTTGGGAAAGGGAGGAGCAAAGCGTCATAGAAAGGTTTTGCGTGACAACATCCAGGGTATCACAAAGCCTGCTATCCGTCGTCTTGCTCGTCGTGGAGGTGTCAAACGTATTTCTGGTTTGATCTACGAAGAAACTCGCGGTGTTCTCAAAGTATTTCTTGAGAACGTGATCCGTGATGCTGTTACTTACACCGAGCATGCTAAAAGGAAGACTGTCACTGCCATGGACGTCGTGTATGCTCTGAAACGCCAAGGAAGAACCCTCTACGGTTTTGGTGGTTAAAAAATGCCTGCTTATCGATCCTAATATTTCAAAAACGGTCCTTTTCAGGACCACCAAATGTTTTAAACGTGGAACATCTTTATTTCGACTATCTGTCATACAATTTTATACTACTCTAAACGACTTATATAAGTAATAAAGTTAAATGGTTCCTGTATGAATTAACTATTTCCTTTTTCTAGATTTTTGTTGTGTAGAGAAAAATTATATAAGGCTACTTTATATCGTTCCTC